CTCCAGTCAGATGGAAAAGCTCACCTTTGAGTAAACCTAAAGCTCAAAATCAAGTAAAAGGCAAAATAATAATTTAAAGGATCTGTGGTTAAAGCAGCTGAAAATGTTCTCTACACACACACACACACACACATACACACTGATGAGAACACACACTCACACACACACTGTTGTGTGGTGGCAACAAGGCAAATAAATAAACCTAAAAACTACGTTTTAAAGTCATGTGACATACAAACTGTTTCATGAGTCACAAGCTAAACTGAAAAAATAAGACACTTGAACTCATGGTAAAAGCAGCCGAGCATTGTAAACAAATAAAAACCTCGACACACTTAAAGGACCACACCACAAGTTTTAGCTCCAACTACACATCGTATCTACATGATAGTTTTGCAACTGTTTTCCAACACAGGCTGCACCTGGTTATATATTTGGATGTATTTTACCTACAGCCACCATTGTTTTCCTTTCATTTTCTATGTAAGTACTACTGTAAGTAATGCAGTTAAAGCTCCATATAGTATAAAGGTAGATGTCCATGTGTTGTTTGATTATAGATCAGGTCTAGGTTCTATATTAATACTGTGAAAGTATCAAAGCCTCAGTCCACAGAGAAATGCACACAGCCTGTATTCAGAAACTGAGCCTTAAAACCAGCCGTCAGGACTTCTGGAACTTTGTGATGTCACACCAAAGCAGTTACTGCTCTCAGCCATAGCCCAAGCCCCACCCACCTGGACCCCCCATCCACCCTTGCAGGATTTGGATTCTCTGAGTGTTTACCTGAAATCTGCTATATTTTTATTCAATCACTCAGAAAACAGTCAGCCAATCGATAGAGAGGCTCAAAGCCTCCTTTCTTCTGATTGGCTCACCAACCTGTTGTTACTAGAGGTCCAGAGAGAAGCCTGAGGGAGGAGATGTAAAACTACATTGAGATTGTTTTTTGGTTCTTAAAACCACAAATTTATCTTCTTTTGGATCAACAACACAGGATCTGAAGTCATTACCATAACAATAATCAATACAGATGATGTTCTCTTGAGTTTCAGTTGCAGGAAAACAGTAGAAAAAGTACATCCAACTTTCTGAAACACTGTCACCTGGTTTGCTGTGATGTAAAGTCACTATGACAGTAAATTGGCTAAAACACCTGTATGGTCCTTTACAGTTTGTCTCTGTTATGTCCAAATCATTCAAGATACTCCAGTGTTACATTTTTGTCTTGCAACCACCAACAAAACACAACTATTATAAAAACTATGTGTCGTTAAAATTTCTGTTTAATGAGAGATCCACCCACAGCTAACAGCTGGAAGATGCCAGTTTCTTTGAGGGCACTGGATCATGGGAACTCATCCTGCTGGTTCTCTCTGTGGTCTGGGTATTGTGGGCTACAGGAGAACTATTTTAAATTGCCTGTTTAGTGCTTTATATGCATCGCCAAAATTATAAGATGATGGATTGACTGAAGTCTTGGACATCAGCAAACAGAACCGATACTGATGAGACCATGAGGTCAGAAGAGCTCAGTGCGCCCGGGGCTGGTTTGTTGAAGCAGGATGAAGGTCTACAGTCTCATGCCATGATTATCCCATTGACTTGTTTTGTGCTTTTCTCTCCTCTTCCTCATCCTCAGAAAAAAAAAAAACAGACATTGCACTTGTGACGTAACAAAACGCAAACAACAACATGGGACTTTCTTTTGTGCAGACGTTTAACATTTTAAAACACACGCTGTTATCATCTGAGGGGCAATGCCTCAACAATAGAAATCATACATGGTGGATTTGACTGACAGCTCATCTGTGTGATGATGTCATTGCCTCTGGCTTCCCAGCATTCCCTGAAGTCAAGCTGTCTGGGTTGGGGATGTGGTGTAGATGCAGTCTCTTTTCATACTACTCAGTATGTTGAAGGGCACCGTGACAATATGCCTGATAATGTCAGTGGGGCCTGGGGGTCTCTTCTACCTGTCCAACGCTTTTATCAGAGCAAGGTACCGCAACACTGTGGATATTCACGGGCCCGAGAAGACAGAAGACTTTGCTGACCCCTGACCCCTGTTTTAATGTCACCAATCATTCAGAAACGTCCCTGGACTAACGTCCTGAAACATGACAAGGTTTCTGGAAAACTCATGTCCAGACTCTCATGACATTTGCTGTTGATTGGAATCCTGTCTCCACAGGATGAAGGTTAGCAGAGAGGCCCTGATCTGTCATCCTTACATTTTCAGCACCACTACTGATCTTGACCTCAAACGCGGCATGACCCGACTTTGTCACAAGGTGTCGATAGCAGGGCTTTAAACCTTTAGTCTTGATCCAGGATGTCCATACCACGCTGCTGAATGGTCGATCTGATGGAACCTGGACATTTCAGTCGAGTGACCATAAACTTTGTGAACATTATGGGACGAATGTTGAGAATACAAATCCACTGGACCTTCTTAGACACATCTAATGTTAAGGACACACTTTACAATTGTTGAGCTGATAAAAATAAGATTTGACACCTGATCAGGAGTTTGACCAAGCTTGTTCCAGTCTGGGTCAGATGGTGTTGACAGCAGGAGTTTAAGTCATACAGTGGTGATCCAGCTGCTGCCTGTCATTCTCATTAAGACCATTTTAAATGTCTATACAGTATAAAGGCAGATGTCCATGTGTTGTTTGATTATAAAGCAGGTCTAGGTTCTATATTAATACTGTGAAAGTATCAAAGCCTCAGTCCACAGAGAAATGCACACAGCCTGTATTCAGAAACTGAGCCTTAAAACCAGCCGTCAGGACTTCTGGAACTTTGTGATGTCACAACAAAGCAGTCACCAATCAGAAGAGAGGCTCAGAGTCTCCTCTCTTCTGATTGGCTCACCAACCTGTTGTTACTAGAGCTCCAGAGAGAAACCTGAGAGAGATGTAAAACTACACTAATATGGTTTTTGGTTCTTAAAACCACAAATATTTCTTTTTATGGATCAGCACTTACACTTCAACACAGGAAATGAGAAAGTATGGAGCTTTAAACATATTTGATAATTACGCTTGGAACAAGACATTGACATCATGTCAAGAAACAATAAAAAGAAAACTGTTTAGTGTTTTCCTCTAATTTTTCCCCTCTGTTACATGACTTAGTGAGACAAACTCTTTTTGATTAATGTCTGAGTCTGTGTTGATGCAGGGACACTCAAGGATTAGAGTCCTCACATGTTTTTTTGCTACCTTTTGCAAGTGACAAAAAACATGACTAACACGACAGAGAGAAGTGTGTCCTGTCATTCATGTGTCCTTTGGCCACCAGATGTGCCCAAATGTCCAGATGTCATCAGTCACCCAACCTAGACCACGATCTGTTGGTATGACAGACCTGAATCAAACTTACACAGTTCACCACAAACGACTCTGTTAGCATTTCTCATTCAACACTAGCAGCACCATGCTAACCTGTGCTCTGTGGCTTGGTGCATCATGGTTAAAAGGTGACGTCAAAGTGATGAGCCTTCACTGACTGATGATGGCACAGAGTTCAGGTGTCAGGTCAGGTGTCTAACCACATACTCCTGAGCTGCTACACACACACACACACACACACACACACACACACACACACACACACACACACACACACACACACACACAACACACACACACACACACACACACACACACGCTATTGCCAACACATTCACACTTATCCACAAAAACAGAGTTACAGTAACTTCAGTTCCCTCTACATCATCTCTAAAGTAAAAAATGCTGCATGTTGTATCAGAGTACTGTACATCCTGGTGGTTGAGTGGTTTGGCTGAGATGGCTGAGACGGCTGCTTGTCTGTGTTCTCTCTTCTTCTCCAGCCTCGACTCGTTTCCACTTCCTGCGTCATCCCCTCTCTTCGTCTTCTTGTCTCTTTGCTCGGTTCTTCTCGCCTCCACGTTCTCCTCCACAGACAAGCGGAGGCCAGCATCGCTGCTCAGCCAGGTTCATGTTGCTCGACTGCAAATAGTTGAGTTGAGCTGCCAGGAAGATTTTTTCTTGGCGTTGTGTGAGTTTGACTTCTTTCCTTATCGGGGGAAAAACCAAGAGCTTACGTCTGTCAGACTGTTACCCCTTTGTTCTCGCTCCCTGTCCTTCCCTCCAGCCAGGGTTGGTTGATTTCATCCAAACAAAACACAATGACCGAGTGTAGATGCTACTTTAGCCACTGTCTTCACGTAGTTCATTGTCAGTCTGACCAGTGGAGACCACAATTATCCAGGGGGAATGATGCCAGAGAAGGTGATTTCCGACCACACCCAGCCATCTCTAAGGTTTTCCACATCCTCAGAAGTTCGAGGACATTTCTGAGAAACCTTTTTGGCACTAAGAGAAAAGGAGTGACAAGCATTATCATGTGCATGTTAATGGAAGTACCCACCCAGTTGTGGCTACTATGGGATATCACACAATCAGAACTTCCAAACAGTGGGACGTCAACACGGTAAGACAGACATGACAGTTTTCTACTTGTGATGAATGAGGGATCATTTCCTCTCCAAATCTCATTAGAGGGTTTTCTGTGTAATTCAGGAGTCATTCATGTTAAAGAGGAATATGTGATGAGTTAAAACTCATCTGGGTGGATGTGAATTTGATTTTATCCCAACCAAACAGTGCATCAGCCTCTTGTAGGGTTAGGGTTTGAGTGTCGAAGCACTCTGTGGATTTGCATTTAGTTCGTACCACACAGGATTTCCCTGATGAGTGGAAATGAAAATAACAGCAACAACCCTACAAAGAACCCAGATACATCCAGCGACATCAGCTGACTTTGTGCTGAATCGCTCCTCTAATCATCACCAACGGAGCCCAACGCTGATGCCAAAGGATGGAAAAAAAAGGGGAGTGAGAGATGAAGAGTGACGTTGCTAGTAGTAACAAATTCTTATTGCCACAGTTTCTGTTGCTGTTTGTATGACGTATGAGCCCTGTACAGGTTCTGACAGCAGGGTGGAATTATAAAGTGGTCTCATATTCCAACCTTTCCTGCACCAGAGCGTCATCTTTGTACTGCAGCCGTGGAGGAGTCAGGGAGCAGTCTATGGCCAGGATTGCCTTGCGAATACTGCGGTCCAGGACGTGACGCTCCCAGGCTGGGTAGCGGTTCCTGCAAAGGTCTATCTTGATGACGGTTTCCTCGAGGCGCGGAGCGCGAGATGAAGGAGTGGACGGCACCGTGGGTCGTACCTGAAACACTGGCATGCAGCCATCCCGCTCAGAATACTTCCCCATGTCACGCTCCAGAGTTGTGGTGGCGCCTCTGTTGGAGCGCAATGAGTTGGTGGCACCTTCCGACGGTAGTGTGGAGAACTGAGCAGTGGGGTCCAGGTCAAGGCCCTGGCCGCTCAGCGAACGTCCAAAGCGCGGCCCGTTGGGATGGAAAAAGGCATAGTACATGAGCATGAAAACCACTCCAGTGAGGAAACTGCTGAAGATGACGCAGAGTGCCGGCACTGCGAAGGCGTCGGTGGTGTGAGGCGACCGGTACAGATACCACAACGCACTGAGAGCAGCGTTCTCCACCAAGATTACCAGGTAGTAGATGAACAATCGACACCTGTACAGACACGTGATAAAAAGAATGAAACTCAGTCAGTAAGCTGGACAGATGTGTGGTTGGAAGTGCTTGTGTTGGAGTGTTGCACTGGTCAGTTGCCTCATCCCTCCAACACAGATACCTTAACATCTGATAGTCACATTTATATTAGTAGAGGATGATTCCTAATGTTTTTGGTGATCCTCTCTAACTCTCTGGGTCTTAGTTAGGGTCAGCTGGTTTCAGTCCAGTATCAGCTGGTTTCAGTCTAGTGTCAGCTGGTTTCAGTCCAGTATCTGCTGGTTTCAGTCTAGTGTCAGCTGGTTTCAGTCTAGTATCAGCTGGTTTTAGTCTAGTGTCAGCTGGTTTCAGTCTAGTGTCAGCTTCTAGTCAAGCGTCCCAGTGCAAGAGCATGTGGTCTGTCTATGGCAGGGCTAAAATACAGAGGAAATTATTTGAATTAGTTATTGTAGCTTTACTGTGAATTGTGAACTGAAATATAAAAGCGAAGCTCTAACAGGTTACTTCCATATGAGTGAAACATAAAAATGATACAGAATTAATTTGCAAAGGACATATCTATATATAAACATAGAGTATTAAGAAAATACCGAATTGTAAAGTTCTATAATACAATGAAAGATTTGAAAGATTTTTGCCACTGTAACATTTTTACTTCAGGTGTACATCAAACACTCACCTTGTCCTTCCCTCCTTGACATTAAACCAGGAAAAGATGTAGATGATGCCCACCACCATGTCAAACACAATCTCCTCCCACTTGCTGATGCAGAAGTCAGTCTCACAGTGGACGATCCAGAAGGTCATGATGCACCAGTGCAGCACAATAAAGATGCCAAAATAGAGCTGGAACACAGAGGCGAACAGGGCAAAGGTGATGACCCGCGCTGCGATGGTGAAGAAGTGCCAGCAGAACTGGATGATGACGGCCAGGTAGCTGATCGGCTTCTTGTCGTCCCGGGACTCTCGCAGGGCCTTCTGGTAGGAGGCCAGGGCCCAGGCCAGAGAGACGAGGGAGGCTGCAGCTGTCATACCTGCAGCACATGGACACACATACTGTATATTACAGGGAAACTCTGGAAAATAGACTTATCTGGTAGAGTAGATGAAAATCTCTGTGAGTCCAGTACAAAGACTGGTACAGGATGTGTCTACTTTAGCTTAGCACAAACACTGGAAGCAGGGGGAAACTGTTAGCTTACAACATTGTTGAACAAACACTGATAAATACAATATGAATTCAGCCACTTCATGGACAAGGTTCCTATCGACCTGAGTCAGTCCTGAGTCCTGGATTGCAAAGATCTCTGCAGCACAACATGTTTTCATCTAAGCCTGATACTTTCATAGGTGATGAGGTAAGTGGGACAGTTGAGACAGGTGAGACAGGTGAGATGGGTGAGACAGGTGAGACAGGTGAGACAGGTACAGCGGCCCTGAGAGCTCAACACACTCCAACTTAAGAAAACACAAACAAGTTCAGAAAATGAGCTAAATGTTTGTTTGGCTGATTATAACATCACATGATTCAGATATTATTGCAGATATCTGTTTTTAACAAGTGCGTCCCAGCCGGGTTCGTCACTTCTTCATGTTCCCTGGGAACACTTCAGTTGCTGTCTGTGCTATTTTCAGACTTGGTTGTGTATTCGGTTGCGTTGTGAGTATTTGTGTTGTCAGATTGATGAAGATGTTTTTTAAGCTGCAGTGTGTTGAGCTCTCCAGGCCACTGTCGATAAGTGAGATGGAAGAGACAGGTGAGACTGGTGAGACGCGTCAAACATGAGGTTTTACACACGTTTAAAACGACTGGAAGCTGAAAACCAACACCTGATAGAAAAGAATATAATCATTGCACATTTTGCTTCTTCTGCACTCGATGCTATAAAAAATTTGATAAATAAAAACATGAAGTATGTATCTTTAAAACTGGATGATGTTGTCTGTCCACCTGGTATTAATAGAATAGAATAGAATAGAATCATAAATAAATAAATAAAAACATGAAATATGTCTCTGGGTCTCTGGATAATGATGTCTGATTAGAGGCCTTTGCCTTCACACATGGGACCAGATGTATAAATTATTATAACATAGTTTTCTGAACTGAGCTGAGGGTGATACATGAAAAATAAGGTGAGAGACAAAATCTAACAATAAAACACGTTTCATTTCAGTTGTTTCATTTATAAAACATGATCTTTTTAACTTTTAAAGAGAGAGAGGCCATCCCGTGGTCCGTCAGCTCATCACATCTGGATCACTGCAACAGTCTTTATACTTGTCTCCAGACTGTACAGAACTCTGCTGCTCGACCTTTAACAGGAACCAAGAGACGTGACCACATCACTCCTGTTTCAGCCTCTTCACTCTGGCTCTCAGTACATTTTACAATACATTTTAAGATTTTATTGATTACTTTTAAATCTCTCTGTGGCCTCTCTCCCCGTTATATCTCTGATCCCCTGGTTCCATACTCACTAGTACGAACCTTGAGATCCTCGGGTCTCTTGTCTGTTCAGAGGCTGAAAACTAAAGGGGACAGAGTTTTTGCAGTCGGGGCCCTGAGGCTCTGGAACGATCTGCCCGAGGAAATCAGGTCGACTGAGTCTGTAGCCTCCTTTATGTCTCTTCTTAAAACGTACTTTTGTCGCAAAGCTTTTCCTGGTTTTACGTAAATTGAACTTTCCTTTGAGCTGCTTTTATTTCTTTTAAAATGACTCTGTACTGGTTTTTTTTAATTTGTTTATCTTCTCTTTGAAATCTGCTGATTTTTTGTTTCGTTTTATTTTTTTATTTTTATATATAGTTTTATTTTGCATTTGTCAAACACTTGGTAACTAAGTGCTCTATACATGACATAAAATAAAGATTATAATCTGCAAAATGGCAATGGCTTGTTTTCTAAAACAAATTTTGATTAATTACTCTGATCTGCACGATTATATTGTTCTTTTTTATTTACAATAGATGCATCTGTTTGCCTCTGTTTTGTTATTATGTATATGATTATCGTTTATTATGACGCACTAACGTCTCTTTGGATCTATAGATGTGTATGTGTGTGTGTGTGTGTGTGTGTGTGTGTTACCTTGGTTAGCCTGCAGCTTGTGTGTCTGTATGATGATGCACAGCTGCAGCACAAGTTGTGGAGCGCTCTCCAGAAAGGTGGCCAGTAGATGCAGCATGCTCACGTCTGCGAACTCGTAGACCATCCTCCAGTAGTAACGCCAGCGCTCCGTCTCAGCACTCTGGCGGCTCCGAATGCCCAGGTAGATGGTGTGGAAATACCTGGAGGAGAAACATCATGCCTCAGCATCAGTCAGAAAGATCCTGCAGCCTCGAATCACAGCCGTGCTGATATTCAGTACAACATCACTCCCTGTGTGTGATATTGCTTAAATATCTGAAGAATAACTGAAGAGCTGTGTTAATCTGTTTCACCTCTGACCTGCCTGTGACTGGGTATGGTCAGAGACGTGCTCTATGGCCCCTGTAACCACACCCCAAAATGATGCCACAGTGTACCAACACACCCTGGAGTACACTTCTACATCAGTGCAGTAAAGTGAGAAGTTAAACCACAAAAACAAGATTTTCAGCCTCTGTTAAGCTGCTCTTTAGCAGTCGTAGCTACCTTTGTCTACAGTACTATGATAACAGTCATGGCTTGGTTAGGTTTAGGAAAAGATGGTGATTTGGGTTAAAGTACTTCCTCAACATTAGACAATCTTTGTTGTCATGGTTACAATATAAACAGCTACTTTCACATGGGAATGGAACTTTGTCTCTCTTTATACTACGTCACCGCACTTTTCCCTTTGCTCCTGTCATCATTACTACGACCACTAGATGTCACCTAGCAACAAAACCTAACTAAGGGTCATAATAACCAGGTGCACAGGCGACCTGTGGGCACGATTTTTTACAGGAGGACAGTCTCTAATTTAACATAAGCCTACCTCACCTGTTTAAAGTTAACACCTGGAAAAAACAATGAGAGCAGATTTCAGTGCACACAAAATCATGAAACTTACTCTGAATCCTGCAGATGCTGCATAGCTCGAATTTGCTTCATGTTCACAAAACACTATAATAAACTCCAAAAGCAGGTAAAGTACCTTTCAAGGGCAGGAAAATGTCAGCTTTTTTGTGGAGCTGTTGTGTCTAAACTTAAGTTTCACTGTGCGGTTTCATCAGAAGAGGCTGGATTGCAACATGGACATCGCCTGAGCAGCTCACTCTGCAGCTCCTGGCAGCTCAGCTCCAACTGTAGACTGCAGACCTGAGGCAAGAGCTCAGTTAATGAAGTGAATTCATTTCTACTTTTATTCTGTCTGTGGCCTACATTTCTATGTGTGTGTGTCTCTCTCTCTGTCAGGCTCCCTCATTCATTTCCATTGTCCCTCTCCCTCTATCTCTGAAATATCACCAACACATGGCGGCCGTTTAGCAGCATGCTAATGGGCCGTGAAATGAAGTTCCGTTGTCAATAAAGAATTTGAAAATTAAATCTGGGCCGAGGGCATTAAAGCTGCAGCCTGTTCGTGGACAGATGGACCTGACACATCTCTCACTGTGTGTGTGTGTGTGTGTGTGTGTGTGTGTGTGTGTGTGTGTGTGTGTGTGTGTGTGTGTGTGTGTGTGTGTGTGTGTGTATGTGTGTGTTGGTTGAGGTCTTTCTAAGTCTACAGATAAGACTTGTTAACCTGTCATTCAGTGACTGAAGGTGTCCCAGTTCTGACTGCTTCACTCACATCCACTGAAAACAAGAGTAAGGTCATTCAGTTTCATATTCAGCCTTCAAGAGAGGTTATCACTATCAGTACTGCCAGTATTACCATGATAATATTACTCTACAAAGACACATAAATCTGGATATTCAGATGATGAGCATTTTATTACGGATCCAAGATGATTCAGATGATTTATTCTGTTTGATCATACGTTAATGGCAATGGACCATTTGTCTATGCTGTGCAGGAATTGGTCTAGGAGCAGGTGGGTCCACTCATGAACCATCTGAACTACAATTTCATATGTGGCCACGCACAGTATGTAACTTCCTCTCGGGCTCTCTCAATCAAAATAATAACAAAAGACGGCAATGGGTGACATCATGAAGTAACATGGCATCATGGGAGTTGTTGTCTTCACTACCATTACCGTCAGCTCCTCTCTTGGATTTCTTCAGTGTCCGTGATTCAGGCAATCATTTTAACTGTTAAAAACACTGAATGAAGCAGTTTGACATTTAAAGTCAGTGTTTGAGCGACGCTGTACGGAGGACAGAGACTCAGGGAAGAGCTGGAGCTGAGATTGATGCTAACCTTTGTTTGATTGTTCCAGCAGCTCAGCTATTCAACATTTACTCAGCTAAAATAATAAATAATAAGATTAAAAAAAAAAAAACAATTTTGAGCTTCTGTCTTTCATGGTTTACCTTGATGGACACGTTGGACCTTTGGACTCTTTATGTTTGGACATTTGTTTTAGTTTTATTTTGTAATCACTTCCCTTGTGTGTCTCATGTAAGTTTGCTTCCTGTCTTTGTCTAGTGTTTCCCTCCTTGTTGATTGTCTGTCCTGCCCTAATGTGTTTCAGGGTTAGAGATTTCTCTGGTTTGAGAATTGATAGAAACATTTGGGATAATGTAAGAACACAACTCAACAACATATAGAACAATCCATTCAAATCCAATTAAATGATTTCTCACCCTGTCTGGTTCATAGTAAAGTTGTAAGTCTTGGGTCAAGGCACTGGGAGGCTGAAAGGTTTAGGATTCTCAGCATGAATCTCAACGTCACTGGTTCCTCTGCTGCCACAGACCTGCTTCTCATTTCCTGTCATCTCTCTACTGTCTATTGCATAGTGGTGTCAGTATGCTTTAAATTAGCTTGTAACAAAGAGTTCATTTATTACCAGCAAAGGATAAATTGCACTCAGTGTTCGAGCAAAGTGGGCACTTCATCTAGGCACATTTGCAGTTGTTTATCACTGTGCACTTAAGAAGCTGACAGTTACACACAAGATGTCTTTTGTTTATTAGTTATTGAGTATTTATTGAATAATTTAACATTTTATGGTTCTGAGTCTTCCAGACACTGCAACGGCGGCTTTGTGTTTGATTGACAGTAGCCTGTAAAACAAAGCACTGGTGTCACAAATCATGTTTGGTTAACAAGTGTGGAAATGTTCTCTCTCCGCAGTATATGGTGCAATAGGAGTGCAATAGTATAGGTGCAATGTAATGTACTCATGGGGAGCTCATGTCTTTTCCTGTGTCCTCTCCAGTGTTTTCGGGCAAACACATCCCTAGGGATCCAAACACCTTTCCAAGGTTCTGAGAAAAACAACAGGATGAGATAATGTGGTGGAATTGTTATTTAGGTGTTTAGTTGTGGTTTTAGATTTAGATTTAGATGTCAAAAGTGGGATACATGCTGCAGTGGGAAGGTATGATGAGCAGAGGTGGAAATAAGCCAGGCCAAGAAGAAGAACAGATAATCAGGCAACCAGAAGGCCGTGGCAGCAAGTAGTCCCAAAGATGGAGGAGCTGGCAGGTCTGGTTAAACCTCTCATCCTGTTTCAGGCAGCCAGAGACCAGAAGATGGAGAAAGATTATTCTCAACAAGAGTAGAGATGGAAACAAGCAGCATTAGTTTCAACAAATTCAGCACCAGGTGAATGCAGTTCAAGAGGATAGGTCTGTCACGCCTCATGTTGGTCGGGTCTGACCAACATGAGGCCACCACTCCAGAGAGTGATTACTGCTGATGATGACGAGAATGACTCACATGAAGGGGCCAGAGCCACAAGGAACCCTGGTTGCTCCCATTAGCCCCTAATGATGACATCAAATACTTCCTCACAACAAATTTGCTGGTGGTCCAGAGATGAGCTGGCTGTTTGCCTCTTCCCTCTGCTTACAGGTAAAGTCTGAAGCACCTATGTCCTGAAGGCTACGACAAAGTGAAGGAGGCAATCCTGGCAAAGTATGACATCACAGCTGACACTTACTGACATTGCTTCCGATCCCCAAAGACTGACCAATGGGATACTCTATGTTCACCTGAAACATTAAACCTGAAACCTCTTAACAGATTGTGAATGTTGGATCGTCTGTTTTGGAAAGTGTGGGAGAGGGGGTTTCAGATGGTGTCAGATGAACTGACAAGCGCTTAGCACTTGGTTTGAATTACTTGATACTGAGGCCTTTGGCCTGGTGATGTGTGTAATTAAGGATGAAATGGATGAATGAAATAAAGCAAAAATAAAAACTCAGGTCTTTATTCAGGTTCTCAGCACAGGGTCTAAAAGATTCGAGTATGACTTGGGTTCCTGTCTCAGTATTAGTCCCATGATAATGCTCGTGATGATGAAGAAACATGTCACCCAGTGCAACATGGTAACTAAATTATTTGTTTTTAACATTTTTTTGGACAACAGATGAATAAGATGAATCAGGTTTTAATAATCCATAACGATGGATGATGCTTCAAACCAGGAGTAGGTAGAGAATGAACAGGAGAGAACCAAATACTGAACCCTGAGGGACGCCTTAGGACAGAGGAGTAGAAGAGGTGCAGTTACTGATGCTTATAAACTACCTATCTATGAGATAAGACCTTAGCCTGGAGGGGGGAGTACCGATGATGCTGGATGGAGATTGAGGATGAGCTGCCAAAAGCAGCAGTGAGGTCAAGGACAAGAATACTGAGGTGTCCAGAGATTGTTAGTGATTTTGAGGAGGACTGACTCTGTGCTGTGTGCATAATCAAGATTGAAATGGGTCCAACAGATTTTAGGAGATGAGTTGGACTTTGAATTGTGAAATGATGACACCCTCACAGGGATTTTGGAGATGGGCTGGAAATTTCTCAGGATTTCTGGATTGAGTCCAGGGCTTTTGAGAATGAGAGCATCAGCAGCCAGTTTGAGTGGTTGTGGAACAGATCTGGAACTCAGAGACGAGTTTATGATTTCTGTGATAAGTGTAGAGATAGTCCTTAACAAGAGTTGATGGGGTAGAGTACTAGTTTTTCATACCCACCATAAGGCTGAAAAGTTCCACAGGGTGGACGAGAGAGAACAGAGACAGGGGGGATGGTGAGGCTGCTGTAGATACTGTCTATTTTTGTTTGGAAGAATAACAGGAAAAAATTGCACTTGTCGACTGTGAAGGATTGAGACGTGTGATCCTTGGGGCTGAGAAGTTTGTTTACTGTAGACAAGTGAACCTTGTGATTAGTTTAGTCAGAGTGTATGAAATGTGAGTGGTAGATGGACCA